TATACATCGAACGTATTCACCTTCGAATAGAAATTTCGATGAAAATTGAATTGCTAAGAATAATTTCTAAACTAGATTTCGATTCATTCGATTCAATTTTTTGACCAGTTTCGATAGAAATTGACAAAAATAATTTTTCGTAGACATATAAATACGATAGCTGCATCTATTGAAATCAATTTTGATCAGGTTCGGTGAAGACTGAATAGCTAAAAATAAATTCTATAAAACATTTAAGGATTTCAATCGAAAGTATAAATAGGGAAGATTTTCTTAACTCAATTTCTACATAGTTCAATAGATATCGAATTTCTAAAAATACTGCTTACAGAAAATTATAATTAAAAATATAAATTGTAATCGAACATATAAAAATAATTATTCCAGAAAATCCCAATCGAGATCATAAAATTGAAGTACCCAAAACAACCCCCATTTAAATCGATCGATAGATCAAAAAATAACGTAAAAAGAAAAACTAAAAAGTAATTATCTACTCACATCTTCCACCAAGTTTCAATTCAGCCGTCGCCTGCGCGCTTTCCTGGTCGTTCCTGACGAAACACTGATACATTCCCTTGTCCTCTTTCTTGACGCTTTCGATTCTGAGCACATGGTCCTCCAGTCCAAGGGGTTTGCCGTCCTTCAGCCACGAGATCGTCTTGATGGGGTTTCCGCGAACGTTGCAGGTGAAGGTAGCCGGTCTGCCGAAGTCGATGGTCTGGGTGCTGGGCTCGATTTCCGCGGCCAAGGGTGCGGTCACCGTCAAAACTGTCTCCACGCTTTCTCCGCCGACAGAGTTGTTCACGATGCACAGATACTTGCCGGAATCCTCGACGCGGGCCTCACGGATGATCAGGGTTCCGCTGACTTGACGGACGCGTTCGTTAAGCTGGACCGGTTGACGACGAGTTGAACCTTCGATGAACTTGTACCATCTGCAACGAGAGGGCAAAGGGATTTGTTCGTGGGCTGGTCGCTGAAAGAAGCTTCTTATGGTCACGCGAAACGAAGCCAATAGGATATCGTTTTTTTTTCCGAACACCTCGAGTACCGGCAGTTTTTTTTAATTTTTAAGTCGAAAGTTGAGAAAGAAAGAAGTTGAGAATTTCTCAACGATTCGACGACCTCGAACGTTTTACCAAATTAAAGTGTTTGATTGAATCGTATTAAGATCGAGAAGTTCAGATTTCGAAGATACAATTTATTATTGGAGAAAAATTGAATTTTCAGGTCTGAGAAAATTAGCATGCCATCCGCGCTTGGGTGACGCGGCAGTGAAAGGGGTTAAAAATTGTTGGAACGTGACAGGAATATCATAAATTATCAGATCAGTTAAATTATCGAATTATCAATTATAATGTATCAAAATTCTTTTTCCAAATTGTTTCATAAATTCTTCGAGAAATTGAAAGAATATTAATTGCTTAATTAATTAAGCAGCTCGACGACCCCAAAGTCTTCCGGTAATCGAGGTGTTAAGACAATACATTTCGTGATGATCTTTATGCATTTTTATTACAATCAAGTTTGTAAAATGCACGAAAATTGATGAAAATGAATCGTGTTATTATTCTGTGTTCACAATAAAGGAACTTTCTAGCGAATGTGACAAATAATATTCTTGTTTAGATACCTAGAAATTGTTTAATAATTTAAAAATTGCAAATTTTAAGAATTTTCACAAAGATTTTGCAGTCTAGAGATGACACGGAGTGATAACCAGACCGTGGATTTTTACGCAAAATTGCATCGATTGCAAGAAATTGTAACTAAATAGCGAGTTCTTTCGTTCTCTAATAATTTGGACAGATTGATGTTACTTTCATAGATTGAAATTACTATAGCAGATTGAAATTACTTTAGTAGATTGAAATAATCTTTTTACTGTATCAAATTGCAACCGCTCAATTTTGTTACAAATGCATAAAATCCAGCGATTACGTTCCTAATCGCTTCGTTTCTTGTCTCGATTTCTAGATTCGCATGTACACACAGGTCCACAAGTCACCGGACACTTTGCAGATGCTGAAGACATTCCCATGGAATCGACGATCGCGTTTTGCAAAATACTGATTGCAAAAGTTTATCTCCAAAGCAGTTGGAGATTGTTTCAGGAAATATTTCAATTATTCCAATCGAAGTGATCAAACTTCTTACACTGTTCTCGATATTTACAAAAGTCTGAATATTACAATTTGTAAATTATTATGTAATGATTGTAAATTATGCAACGTATTCTTTCATTTAAAAGAAACAACTAATAATGCAATTATGAAAATATAGATAATTTTGTTCCCGAAAATTATACACCTATGATTCGAATTTGTATCATTTTCTTCCTCGACTAAAATCACCATAAGCTCGAAGATTGAACGACCATAAGCTTGATGTACGATCATTTTATCGACGTTCTAAAGCGCTGTGGATAAAAAGTGTGTCGGCAGCGTTAGAATAACCAGCGATGTGCTTCGCGACGAGGTCGTACGATCGGAGTTGCACGCCGGGCAATGCATTCGAATTTGCATCATTGGATTTCTGATGAAATCCATCGTATTTTCGAGCATATCGTCGCGACGTAACTATGTTATCTACATGTAACAGCGAATACATACATCGCAAGTGGAAATTCGATCGTACGACGATCTCTGGTTATTCTAATGCCGGTGAGGTGCTTTTCATTAAAAGTGCTTTTAAATTCATGAAAACTTTTCTTTATTCGCAAAATCTGAAACGATTCGAACTCGTGAATTTTATAAAACATACTATGTTTTTTGGAATAAGATACTTTAAGATCGTAATAGCTGTTCCAATTACATCAGTTTTGCAATGTGAAAGTGAACTGCTCTCGCGACTTCGGCTGTCTCCTTTTGAAAAATATTAATAATACTGAAAATGTAATGTAAACCGTAATGTAATAAAAACTGTAATGTAAAATATCGTACATCAAGTTTCATGGAGCCGCTGAGAGAAGCTTGGAATTTCTAACAATTAGTGAATTCGATTTATAAAACAATGAATTCGTTTTACAGAAAATGAATTCGTTCTCGGAAAAAAAATCGAGTTCGATTCGCAAGCGAATGAGTTCGTTTTGCAAAAGGATAAATTCGTTTTCGAGAACAGTGAATTCGATTCACGTGAAAATGAATTCGTTTTACGAAAAAAGAATAAAGTCATTTCACGAGAGAGGATAAATCTCGTTTCACGAGAAAGAGAATTCGATCAACGAGAAACAGAATTCAGTTCGCAAAACAGCAAATTCGATCTCCGAACCAGTGAATTCGACGTACAGAAAAAAAAAGGAAAAAGTAAACAGTGATCCAGGAAACAATGAATTTGCAAACTGATCCAATAACCCCGCAATTCCGATCATCCGAGTAATTCGTCCAAACACGATTCTCCGACGACTGTGTACACGCGCGTTCACATAATTTCTCGTACACAAAGGACAAAACGTCGCCGCCCTCGGCGTAAAGCCCAGACAGTCTCTCGTCCGGGACTAAACGCGAAACACACAACGACGAGAGATCGCATTGAAAGAACGTTGAATTCGCATTCGACTGAGCAAGTGTCTGGTGTCTCGTAGACTTCAATGATTATGTGTGTATATATGTGTATGCAGGGCTTTGGGCGTCTCTGGGCACGGGCTTCTGTCTCTACTGCCGGCTCATTAGCACGTGTCTCTTGCGCAAACTTAATCAGAAAGAAGGAGAGCTTCAACGCATCTGGAGCATACAGCGGTCATAAAAGCAGAGCAGGTCGGGAAAACGGTGTGGGGGAGGAGGAGGCTGGCAGCGGCAAGTTCGTCACGATCGGAAACAAAAAGTGCTCCACGAGAGACAAATAAAGAGATAGAAAGAGATAGAGAGAGATAAAGAGAGAGAGAGAGAGAGAGAGATAAAGAAAAAGAGAGAGAGAGAGCAGGTTGCTCCGACAACCGATTCGAAAAAGATCGACCAAGTACCGAAAGTAATATCAACAGTTGCCATCGATTCTCGACCGATTTCTGCAACATCAGTCAAAGAGGATGACAACGGAACGTAGACGATAGCAGAAAGTTGATAAAACGATTGTTATAAACATCGTTTAACAATCAGATAGCTAATAGTTCGTAGGACAAGTGAATAGCGGAGTTTGGTTCGTTTGGACCCATAAGATAGTGGAGCGGGATACTGTGGGGTGACCAATTGCTGTGCCTTTGGCTTATTTTCGGGCCTAATCAAATGAATATTTATCGAACAAGACACATTAAATTTCTGTACACTTTGATATCGTTTATCTCTTAATAAAAAAAGATATAACATGTCTTGTTCGATAAAGATAAAGTTAATTATGCTCGAGAACAAACGAAAGCAATTGGTCACGCCACAGTAACCGGCTCCTCTGCCCTACGAGACGGCTACTATTGGCAGCTGACAAGACGGTAATCTGTTCACAAACTAAACAGCTTTTCAGACGCTGGGTCATTATTGGCCCAGTTGCGCGACGGACGGAAGCCGCGATTAATTAGATCGAAGACGATCGATCTTCTCGCGTCGTTCACTTCGCCAATAACGAGCCAGGACCCGAAAAAATGGACTACCGATTCAGTTCGCCATCTTTTCGCGGTCGTCTCGTACGGGTCGAATCGGACCCACCCCGAACAGTCGAACAGAAAATAAGATCGCGCGATGGCCGCCGTGTTTGTCGCGGGACGAACGAGCCGGTCGCTGTTTCCGATCAGAATACGGGAGTCGAGGTGACAATGAGCATGGGTGGTGGCGATGGTGCAGCAACTGGACAATGCGACGAGTCACTTGAAACACAGTCAACAATTTTCTGAAGAGAGACAGAGAGAGAGAGAGAGAGAGAGAGAGAGAGCGAGAGAGAGGAAGGCCGGGAAGTGGCGGGTGAAAACATGAAACGGATGAGGCACGAAGGTGGCGAGGACTTACCAGCCAGATATCGTGGGACTTATTGGAGGTGTGCAGGTGCAGGGCTACATTGTTCGGCCCATTGATCGGGTGACGCTCTCTCGGACCACCCAGATCAGCACCGGGGCTACCGAAGGAGAAGAGGGCCCGCATCCTTTTCGGAGTCGCGCTTCCGTCGCCTATCTCGGGGTTGCGTCGCGAGGCTCCTGTTGGCACTGAAAACCAACACGTCCGATTGGCCCCGATAGGCTCCGCCTTCTTACTCAACGCTGTCTCCTCTCGCGGCCGGCTAATCTCTCGGAACTTCTTCGACTTAGATCGAGGCGAGACCAGTGTGTGTGCGGGAAAACTCGCTACGCTAACAGTGGGGGCAGTCGACGCATGCGCGGAAGTCCCGCGCAACGGCGCGACGCTGCTGCCGCGCGAACGCTATAGTCCCGAACTGCGATCGCGACGCAGGTCGGAATTATAAGGCTCGCCCGGTAGACGCACCGCGCCGCTGTGCGGGGCTCTCTGCGCGTGCGTCGCCTCCCCACTCCTCGCGTAGCGACTTCTCCTGAATACACAGAACGAAACAGAGAGAGAGAGAGAGAGAGAGAGAGAGAGAGAGAGAGAGATTTGCTTTGATCTGGCAAGCTTGGAGCTCCAAGGTGGATTTTGAACCAGCTGTCCATGCTTCGGGCACCTTTGTGCCCTCCCCCTCGTCTTTCTACGCTCGACGATCGACTCTTTTCTTTCTTAATTTTTAGATTTGTTTTTAGTCAGTCTTCGCTCTGATCCGTTTCGTTCGTTCTCTCTCTCGCCTCTGATGTGCTCAATCCGCCTCTGTGTCGAACGTCGAACTTCTCGGATTTTGCGGTACCGCCACCCGACCCGGGGTAGAGGGTAAGGATGGAACGCCTCGAAAATAGGATGAAACAAAAGAAAAAAAATAGAGAAGCTATACGGAAACTTTGAGTGTACCTAGAGATCGGGGCAGGAAAGCCTTGTGCCGCACACGCCAGCGCCAGAGACTCGCCCTCTAC